GATTAGTCAATGTTCTTTATGCCTGGACTAAAGGGTAAAGAATATGTATGCTCCTATTTGACACAATATAAATTAAACTGATTCATTTTATCCATTCACTATAATTTATTGACAAGGAGAAGGATGCTTTCTTATATATTGAATATCATATTAAAAACCCCATAAGTATAATTAGTTATTTAAGAGTTATTAAGAAAATTACATATTTATTTCAAATGCCTATTAGTGACAGATAAGTAAATTGAATTTTATTGTTGTGATTAAAGTATTGCTTTTTCTAAATCTTAGTTCATAGTTCTAATCTTAATCCCTGTGGGATCGATATCTAGGACTCCATTAGAGCCCTATTTTACTTGAGCGATACGTATACTTGCGTTGATAAGTGTGACTTTACAAATATTGAATATTTATTACATCCATATTTATCGAATCTATAACAGTTGAATCTATAACGGTTATTAGGTTTTGGTATAGTTGCTGAGAAATTAAATCTTTTAGCAGCAGTATTAGTTACTTATATTTTAAGCATATATAAAGTCGTTGTCAGAGTCCATGATGACTTTGTAGTTCATCAAGTAGATCCATAAATATAGGTTGTGTCATATGGAACATGTTGATGAATCTTGTGATGTGTGCTTACAATAGCCCCCCAACCCATTTATCACCAATATAAGTAGATTTCATGCAGGGAGTTCGATCAACATATGAGTTATAGTATTCATACAACATATATACTGTTGTTGTAATTTTTCTTTTGCGCCTATGAATCCATGCTAAAAAAGTGTTATGTTCAGGTAATATATGTGAATCAGACAACGTTAAAAAAACATCTAAAATTGAAAGATAAAACATACAATGAAAAGATATAAATACATAATAATATATAGATTGTTCGTACGAGAAATAGAAAGAAAAAAATCATCCAAATCAGATATCCAATGAAACAACGTGAAAAAGCTAAAGTGGTACATCAATAACTCCACAAAATCAAGTGTCATTATTATCGAAAAGAATAACATAAATAGTTGATCCTATAGTCAGGGGGCATCTTCGTGAAGATCTATATATGGATTGGGTCCTCTAGCAATTTCAAGGAGTTCAGATATAATGGCATGTCCCCATAAACTTTTGGAGTTGCCTATACAGAGGTGTCAGGTAAAGTCCTAGCCTCACTCGTGCACACATCCACCAGTTTTGTTATTTGGCTTCTGATAAAAGTAACTCCTTTTTTCTTTTCTCCACCCTAGGACACTTTGAACTACAAGTGGACTCCAGTTCATTTTGGCTTGGGCTTTGGCATTCACTGAAGCCAGTTACTTTCTCGGTCACTAAGTCCTCTAGTATACTTGCAAACCCAAACTAACTTAGGGTTAAGGCATGAGTGCCTACTGCCACAATCCCACTAAGTATACGTTCTAAGTTCTATTCCAGATCAGGGTCAATTCCACTGAATTTAAAATTCTTGGTGGCTGGCACTATCTGCAATATACAGGCAAGTTCATTACTTCAAACAGTTCAGTAAGAGAAAGTAATTAAAATATAGTCTTTCATGTAATGAAAATTGTTACCTCCAATTTATCAATCCTCCATTTCTCTTAAGCACCAATAGTCAGTTTGATTGGATCCCAACCCAAACCCATGGATGCCCGTTTTAATTCCTTCCGTAATTTCCAGTTCTTCTTCAACTGGTCCCACTCATTCTTAAGCTGCAACATACTGTACTCCCTTTCTGTCATTTCCTTGAGATTCTTCATAATATTTTATCACCCTTGTTAAAATAGGTGGTGGGCCTATTTCCCATCTCAACCTCCTTATGACAGAGGTTGCAAAATATGAGTTTGGCTTTCTTATCCCACATGGCTGATGAACGGACGTCTATACTCTTAACCATTGCGTTAATAGCACAAAAAAAACAAACGTTAATATTTGACAACAATCAAAAAATAATAATTAGCCACCAAAGCACAACCACGCAATTGCCATAGCTCAACCAACCATCACATCTTAGAGCCACCACAACACATCTACATGTAGACATCTCAAAGTTAGTAAAATAAGCTCTAAATTCTTTCTAACAGAAATATTAGGTTTTCTTGTTGCATCTTACTATTGTGAAGATGTATAAGAATTTATTGGCAACTCAGTGTACAACACCCAACCCACATCACAACACCAACCACATAACCACCACATCACCCTAACTCACATCACATCACAACCACATAACCACCACAGCACATCCAACCACCAAAACCTAGAGCCACCACAATACAAATACATGATCTGAATTTACACAGACACCACAGCCCACAACAAAGCCACCAGAACCTAGAGCCATCACCCAACCCACAGCCAACCCTAAAAAACCACACGACCACAATAAAGCCACATGCAACACAGCTCAAGCTAGAGCCAGCACACAACCTAGCCATCACCACCCCAACCCAAAGCTAACAGTCGCGACCCCAACCCACAGCCAACCATCACCACCCCAAACCACAATCACCAAAACAACTAGACAACCCACAGCACAAGCCAAAGCCACAACACAACCACATACACCCCAACCCACATCACAGCTTAACCACATAAGTACCCAATCACATCCAACCACCAAAACCCAGAGCCACTACAATAGAGACACATGGTCTGAACTCACACACAAACACAATCCACAGCAGAGTCACCACAAACCAGAGCAACCACCCTAACCCATAGCCAACCCTAAACAACCACACAACCACAACAGAGCCACGTGCACCGCAGGTCAATCCAGAGCCACCACCCCAACCCACAACCAACCACCATCCCAACCCATAACCACCAACACAATCAGAAAACCCACAATACAAGTCAGAGTTACCACACAACCACAACACCCCAACCCACATCACACCACAAACACATAACTACCACAACACATTCAATCACCAAAACCTAGAGCCAACACAGCACAGACACATGGTCTGAATTCATACAAACACCACAGCCAACAATAGAGCCAATACAACCCAGAGCCACCACTCAACCCACAATCAAACCTAAACTAACACCGAACCACTGCTCAAGCCAGAGCCACCACACAACCCATGGACAACTACCACCACCCCAACCCATTGCTAACCACCACAACCTCAACCCACAACCATCAACACAACCAGACAATTCACAACACAAGTCAGAGCTAGCAGACAACAACAACACCCCAACTCACATTACAGCACAACTATATAACTATCACAACACATCAACCCACAATCTACAACTCAAGTCAGAGCCACCACTGCACAAACTTGTGGTCTAAAGTCACATAAGCACTGCAACCCAGAGCAGAGCCACCACCCCAGCTACACAGTCAACCCTAAATAACCACACAAACCACAGCAGAGCCACATGCACCACAGCTCAAGCTAGAGCTACCACACAACTTAACTACCACCACTCCAACCCAAAACCAACCATCACTACCTAACCCACAACCACCAACGTAACTAGACAACCCACAACACAAGCCGGAGCCACCAAACAAACACAACATCCCAACACACTTCACAACAATGCCACATAACTACCATAATGCATCTAACCACCAAAACCCAGAGACACCAAAACACAGACACACAACCACCATGACCCACATCAGAGCCACCACAACCCAGAACCGCCACCCCAACCCATAGCCAACTCTAAACAACCACACAAACACAACAGAGGCACATGAATTTGAGGTTATTAGTAAAGTTCACTAGACCACAAACCAACCAAAGCAAAAATCCTCTCAATTTACCACACCATAATCACCAGAAGACACAACACAACCAACATAACCGAAAACCACCATACCACAAGCACGACCACCATAACTACCCCAACAAGGCACCACCAAAACCAGCAGCATTCCACACCACAACAAACAACCACCACCAAATCCACAGTAAAGGGCATCACTTCGATAAAGAAAACCCTAAACCCTAAAACTGCAAAGATAGCAACATATAAAAAATCCATAAAAAACCAGCAAGAGAACAATCAATCGAAAACCATCAAGAGAACAATCAATCACAAAATAATAATGTCAAAGAAAAGTTGAAAGAGAATATTGCAAGCCTAAGGAAAGGAAATGATCGAAGCAAAAACAAAGCATGAATCATGATCGAACTGGAGGAGGCGACTGGGAAAGTTACCTCTAAGGTGACGAGAGAGGGAAGCTCGGTCATGAGAAAGGGGAGGAAGAAGTCAGCGCGATTGAAAAAGAAAAGAGGGAGAAGCTCATTCGTGAGAGAGGTCTTAAGATAGTGTAGTAAAATGTGTCCAGTAGGTTTAAGCAAAACAAGGGAAGCGGTGCCCGTCTCCCACGTTCCTGGTAATTTATCCAAAAACTCAAAAAAATGTATTTTCAAAACGAAGAAGAAATATAAAATTTCCCCAACCCGTCCCTTTGAAGTGTCCCGTATGTTATCACCTAAGGGAAGCGGTGCCCGTCTCCCACGTTCCTGGTAATTTATCCAAAAACTCAAAAAAATGTATTTTCAAAACGAAGAAGAAATTTAAAATTGCCCCAAACCGACCCTTTTAAGTGTCACGTATGTTATCACCTGAAATTTTAAATATTTCAAAACAACCACGCTAAACCTAATAACTTCTGTCTCCCACATCTCTGCCTCTATCGTGTCCCAATTGCACTCTAAAAAATTATTTTGTCAGGACTCATAATGTAGAGAATCTTTTGGAGTCCAATGAAATCACGTTACGTGGCGGTGACAGAAAAAAAATAAAATTTGTCCTATAATATAAGAGAGTATTCCTCCCGTGTTATTCAAGTGTTATTTTTTGTTATTCAAGTGTTATTGATGTGTTATTTTGTTATTATAACATGAAGAATATTCCCAAAACACAATAATACCTGAATAACATATAATAACGCTTGAATAATATGAAATAACACGGGAGGAATATTCCTGTGTTATTAGGCTGTTTTTTATTTTTTTTTGTGTCACCGCCACATGACGTGATTTTATTAGACTCTGAATGGTTCTTTAAGTTAGGAGTCCTACTCATAGATTATGCGCTCCCCATTCACGTTCTCACAGGGCATCATCTCTTTCCCATGCACCTTTTACCTTAGTTCTGCTCGAACACCAGCCCAACTCAGGCCCATCTCCTTTCTACCTATTGTGCAATAGTTTGGCGAGGCAACCCGCCTCTTTTCAGTGTGCTTCAATCAAGGTGATTAATCCATTATGCTTCTGTTTTGTTTAGTTCAATGCTTTCCAATTTACGGAGTGAGCAAGAAGGGTTGTGCTAACAGGAGTCGAACCACTCTTCAAATGTGTTAGGAAGAAGGGTTGTGTTTCGACTCACTTCTACGACTAACTACCTACTGTCTCCAATATCAAGGCCATTTTTGCCTCCTAAGTTCAAGAAATTGGAGATAGAAAGCATTGGCTAGAAAGCGTAAACTGGTAACATAAAATGGAATTAATAAAAACATCTCTTGTTTGCAACTATTTGTATTTTTTT